GTCAGTGCATATTCATCCTTTGCAAGAACAGTTGGTCTTGGATTTGAGCAGCATAAACGGAGACTAGACAATGTAACAAATGAACCTTTATTCACTAATGTAACCAGAGATTTTATTGGCTCTCTAGATTACATATTTTACACAGGTGTGATATCTTGCAATGATGTTATTAATTTGATCAACTTAACATCCTGGTCATTTGTTTACAGTTTATGAAGTGACGTCTTTTTTTGGTTTCAGCGGATTCATTGGTTGTGGAGTCATTGTTGGAGCTATTGGATGAGGAGAGTTTGAGGAAAGACACCGCACTTCCTTCTCCTGAATGGTCCTCTGATCATATAGCTCTGTTAGCCGAGTTTCGCTGCTGCAAGAATAGATCTAGGCGATGACTTAAGGTGCCATCATCTCTTCCTTTACCATCTTTTATTATTATTATTATTATTATTTTATATTTTCTTCTTTTGTGCTTGATTAGTGATAGTAGTTATCATCTTTCTGGAAATTTTGGTCTTGTGGCCTTGCTGTTTGACACATTGTTTGTCTGATGACCTTGCTGTTTGACACATTGAAGTATAAAAAAATAATGGATGATTCCACGGCTGAGATTAGGGCAGCAAATTACTTTCGAGGGATGCTCATTATCAGTAGCTGAGAGATGGGGAAAGAGTGGGAATTGTGAAGGAGAGAATAATTTTGACAATTTAGGGACAATGTCATGAACCTTGTTATAATTTTCTGAATTGGTTCGGAAATAATTCCTTATGGTCTGATCTGTGTCAACAATTACTGAATTGGCAGGGAATTTGATAATGATTTTTTCTTTCGTACTCTGGAATTTGTTTTCCTAAATGGGACCAGATGTTGTAGGTTCATTAAAGGGAGATGATGAAAATGCCTGAAGTCCAAAATAATTATATATAGGAGTCTTTTGTTATGGGTCACAACAACTTCAAGCGATGCATGCATTGATAAAATAATACTGCAGTGTATATGATACTGAAAAATAATTTGTTCCCTGGTATTGAAAAATTTCCATTCAGGCATGTTGGCAATTGTTGAATTAAATGATTTTAGATGTTTTCACCATAATAAGGAGAATACGTTTTTGCATCTGCTATACTTACCTTTCTGCTGTATTGCTGACTGCACTTTATAGAAGTGCTGGTTGTAGTTTGTGTTTTTCGGTCTTTGATACGTATTACAGTTTAAGTCGGTGTGTTTTCTTTATGCCTAGACCTAAATATGCCTTCGTCCTTTATTCACGAGGTTCTCCTTTTTGTGTAGGTCGGATCCAGAGAGGCACAATGAAAAGCGTCGAAAGAAATGTTTGATTGATGATAAGTTATTGTAAAAGTGGTAGATCATACGTTGTCTTTTTTCCAGGTATCTCCTTGTGGGGGCCTTGAAATGATCTGCTTTGTATCATGTAACCTTTGTCATAGAAAAATTATGATAATGCCTTATTTTCGCCCACATCTTGCCCAATCGTTTTCCTTATAAAGTAAATCTTCTACGTTCGTTTCTATTGGGTTTCTAAACATGTATCAATTATCTAATCGCCCCATTCTCAAGCCCCCCTTCCAATCATGTGGCTGATTAGCCTTGGTCTTCAATATCTCACTACAGTAGCGATAATATTCACAGTTTAGGTTGTTTTGCATATGCAATGATCATCATAAAATTGACAAATTCAAAATGGTGTATTGATATAAAAAAGAAAGTGGTCACGACTCACGATAATACTTGACAGTGCTCCTTACCACTAGATTTAATTTAATTTTACCTCCTAAGTGTAATTTTTTATTACTTTTGTTCAATCAAAAGTTATTAAATGAGTTTGGCTGTCAGTTGTTACTCAAAAGTAGTTTAAGTCTTACGTGAACATCATCTAGAGTGAATTGTTGAGAGCATTATTCATTCTTAGTGGCATATATATGGATTTATTATCTTTTAAAAATTGTTTCTAATCTATTGTGCAGCTTTTATAAAGCCTTCCTTTTTGGATTTTCTAGTTTTTATCATTTTGGTTCTGGATTTCTACCCTTGGTTTTAGGTTTTTTCCTTAGTTCTGGACTTTTCTACTTAATGTGTCTTCTGCACTTGAAATTGTTTATCTAGTTCATGTTATTTTTTTTAGCACTTGTTATTGTAGTGGCTAAATTCAATTGAAAAAAATTACTTGCTTTGGTGTACTTTAGTGGAGTTATGGTTCAAGGAAACCATATGTATGACCATTGGAATTATATTAATCAGTTATTCCCACTGAAAGTAAATTTCAGTGGTAAAAGTTTGACTTCTAGCCATTTGTTCTACTGCAGTGAGTTGAACTTAGAGATACTTATATCCACCAATGCATTTTGTTCTTTTTTGAAGCTCAATTTTCGGTATCTAATGTCTTTTTTATGCAATTCAAAGAATAGACCAATCATGATGTGAATAGAGTCGTCATGATATGATATTGGTGTGGCCGACTCATTGTAAGGATATAGACAAAAAAAAACTTGGTAAGTTTGTATGGTGTTGATTAAAGATCTGCAACAATCATATACCCACCATACCAGTGGAAATAGATAACAAGCATGCATCTATCATAATCATATAAAACTGTTTTTTCAAAAGATAAGGAAAAACAGTATTCGTACATGGTCTGAGTAAAATAATCAATATTCAATTCAAATGTTTCCTCGAATAATTTTTTTTATGTTCATCATAAAATGGACCAACAATAATTTTCAAAATATTAAGAATCTTTCTTTAAAAATTTGTCTTCTCTATTGCATCCAATAATTTTACATCGGAATTGAGATTTAAGATAATTTAAAAACTTATTTTTTCTTCTATCTTCTAAAATGTTGATAAAACTATTATAGAATTTCATACTTTAAAGTTGATAATATTTCATATATATATATATATATATATATATATATATATATATATATATATATATATATATATATATATATATATATATATATATATATATATATATATATATAATCGTAATGATATCATTTAACGAATTTGAAAAGACGAATTATTAATCTTATTTTTTAATAGAGATGACTAGTCATTTCTCTTATATATGTGCATATCCAATAAATTCATATTGATTAGAAGTGGAGGCTTAAGCCAATTTAAAAACTCTTTTCCTTTTTATCCTCTTTTAGATACAAAACCATAATAAAGTCTCAAGTAACAAACTTTGAATATACAGTTATTGACTCTAAAGGTTCAAAATATAAAATTTATCACAAACAAGTAATCTCAAATGGAACAATTAACATTATCGGTTAAATTGTAATAATTTTAAGTAAATGAACTGTGCACAATTGGATTGAGTAATTATTTTATCGCCTCTCAAAATTGAATAGTTAAAAATTTGGTTAATAATGATTTAATAATTCATTACGTATGTCTCTAGCATATTAGTTTATGTTGCTGTTGTTGCTGATTAAAAAGAAAAGTTTACATTCTTGTTCTACACGTGTATCTTTTGGTTATATTAATGCAAATTCTTTATTGCATTAATTCCTAAGTTATACTTTCGACTAACATTACTATTTTTTTAATCAAGTGAATTGCGAAATTTAACTTCTATTTAGTGGATTCATTAGAAGAAGAAAAAAACTAAATTGATTTGATTCAATAAGAACTCAGGGTTCTAAAATCACATCTATATAAGAAGAACAATACTCATAAAATATGACTTTGTGGATCAAACAAAAACACGTAAATTTATTAAATAGGATTAGTTGTCGAAAACATTTCAATCAGCATATTTTGCTGAGTTATATTTACTTGCCTTTTTTTTTTCACTTCAACGTAAAAAAAATAACATGATTTACTTGATACTACTTTTGTTTTAATTAGGTTGTTTAAAATTAATTTTAAGCTGTTTTTTATCGATGGGTTCATTGGTATGAAAGGGTAATTTAAAACTATTCTGGTCATAAATATTTTTCAAATATTGTTCTAAAGATTTTCTTAAAATATTGGTCTGAACTTCATTTCCCATATTTTTATTTTATGAACGAAGAAAGCTAGCGTATTTATTAACATTAGCAATAACAACTCATTTTCTGCATTTGGATTTTTTTTATTTTAAAAATACTGAGTGAATCATTACGAGATATTAATTGTAATTAAAATTTATAAAAAAATCAATTTTTAAAAAATATATTTTAATTTGTGTTTGGTTTTTTAAATATAAATATATTGAAAAATGAAAAAAAATAGAACTGTTACATGAATTATTATATATCTTACACAGAAAAAAATTATACTTAAAAGTAATTTTGATACAAAACGGTTCAAGAAAATTTTGATTATGTACTATTGTAGATTAATAAGTTGAAGTTAAAACCGACATTAAGAGAATGAATTTAATTTTCGAAATACTGACAACAAATTTAAAATATGTTGCAATATTTTTTAACACAATGTTTGTACTTTCAATAATTTGTGATTTGTAATTGCAAATCTTATAAAGTAAAGCTGGTTTGTGTTGGGATATGCCAGAATTACGATACATTAAAGTACACAAGTATTTTTCAAAATAAACATATAGAATTAAAAATAATTCTTGCTTTATAAATTGATTTTAAAGGTGAGTTTAGTAAAACGTGATGAAACAAGTGTTTAGTAGGTGAGAATAAAATGTTATAAATATCACTTTTTTCGTAAAACGTGATGAGAAAAAAATTTACAATATAATTCATCATGTTTTAACCTTTTTAAAGATTAAAAACCTTTCACGATTAATAAAAAGAGGATGTGGTATTAATCAATTGTAAAAATAATATAATAATAAT